ACTAAACATAAAATAATATCCACGTTTTCATTGATATGTAAACCAAAGAATAAATATTTTTTGATTGATGGAAGAAAGTTTGTGATCAAGGGACCAAGACTTGGCTAGCTCTAGAGTGGGCTGGGGAAGCCAACATGAAATTTTCAACCCTAGAATTGATAGTGGCTATTATTTTAATGGCAAAGACAGCGAAGGGATTTAAACATTGGAGATTAGGCAAAAGAAGGAGGCTAATTATTTGGTTAATTAGTTCTTTTCCCACTACTGGTTTTTCATGAAAATTAGGTCTATTGCTTTCTTAGAAGTTGACAATCTATGTTCGTACACATCCTAATTTGGCTAGCTAGATTATACAGGAGTCTTGTATTATTACTACTGCTATTATTAGAGAGAGAGAGAGAGAGAGAGAGAGAGAGAGAGAGAGAGAGAGAGAGAGATCACTAGATCTCCATTATGAGTTTCTTTTCTAGCTAGATCTCCATTATGCATTTTTTTTTTTTTGTTCAATATGATTCCTATGTAGGAGTTACTTAGCTAGTCTTATATATTTACTACTAGCTTAATTTGGGGCTTATTGAAAGACGGCACGTATAATATGTACTTATAATTAGCCTAAGTAAGATCAGGAACCAGTTTTTGGTTAATTAGTTCATAAAAAGAGAGGAACATTATGAATTAATCAGTACCTCATGTACAAACATTTCTTAATGCCCATGATAAATTTATCAATTCAAATTTTTGTCAGGGCCGTTACTCTGTCAAGTAAGGAATATCAATAGAAGATTAGGAAATCTTGTGTTATAATTTTCTTTTACATATATATATACTTTGAAAAGTCTTTGTCAATAATTATTATACAATAAATAAAAAACTATATGCGCGCTTGAAAGCAACTCATGGTTTTTATTTGACATAAGACCTTAATCTAGAAACTAGCCTTCATTAACTAATTGATATAGCATATAGTTGTATATGGTTATAAGTAGTTAATACCAAAGCTAACTATTATAGCGACCGTTACCCAAATACATATTCTATTTTGGCTCTTGTCTTCTCAAACCCTCGAAAGGCTAATTAACTTGATCAAAAATTCACCAGTCATAAAGCATTAGTATTTTCACAATCTTTTTGTTCTTTTATCGGTTATAAAACACATTCACAAAGGAAGGGATCAATTGAAGAGTTAAGAGAATATACAAGTCAGCTAATTAAATACATCAATAAAACCTATAAAAACAAAAGAATCAATATTCGTCGCATAATGAAAATATTAAAAAAAAAATTCAAAAACCATTCTAATATAAAGAAATGACCTTAAAAGTACTATATTCGCATGATAACAACCGATTAATTGGAAAGAGGAGGAAGAAGAAGAATCATAATAAAATCGTTAACAATTATGTCATTTATTACAAAAGGCAAGCCAATCAGAAAGTTCTAAAAGAAAATTCTATTCTATAGTAATAGAAGGCCAATGTTGCTGTACATTATTATTATTTTTTGACGTAAGAAAGGAATTTAATTGTTGTACATTATTGAACCTAGCTAGAGATAATATATAACTTTTGGAAATCAATCTCTCTAATAATTTCTTCTTACTCATATTTAGTTTACTTTTATGAATATAACATGTTCGCTTTCACCGAAAGGGGGAAAAGAAAAGAATTGATTACAAGAAAAAAGGAATTTAGATTCAAACTTTTTTTTTTTTTTTTTTTTTTTTTTTTTTTTTTTTGGTTGGGGAAAAAAAAAAAAAAAAAAAAAGACCGC